AAAGTGGGACCTTTGGTTCCACTGGAACCACTTTAACCTTTGGTTTCGGAACCTTGCCATTAGGGAGTTCGAGAAATGGAAAACTGAAAAATTACAAATTTTGTCAGAAATCATGTTGATGCGTGTCAATGTTTGGTTCGGGCTTATACGTATAAAAAAGAGAAGAGACTTCTCTTATCTTTTTTATACGTATAAGCCCGAACTATAGTTCTATATATAGACTTCAGCTCGGAAGTTTTAGAATCTCCGAATTTAATAAATCCTGGTAACATTTACTAGAATTGTTATTTTTGTGTGTATACTATAGTATAATGATTGTTGGCTTTTATGTAACGATCTGCAATGTCGACATTGCAGAGCTGGACTGTACCTGGTTAAAACGGGGTTCGTAGCCTGGTCAACGTTCCCAAACAGCATTATTTTGCGAGATCTTCATTAGAAACAACGTAATAATAACAGCTGTTTAAATTTACACGTTAATATGCGGCTGCTACTTTTATTTATCGTTCTATCTAGGCCTTTAGGATGGTTTTGTTGAAACGTTGGGCTCTGATAGAAAACGCACCTGCCCGTGGTATGTCTTTGATGGAACCTGTATGTTACATCAATTACTACACTCACTTTTATCGGGACTCATCTCCACTAGTACTTGTCACCTGTATTTTTTACGAAAGCAGGGCTGATCCTTCCTTTAAGTGCTGTCGTATACGAAAACTGTTGCGATGTAAGCTCTCCTTATATGTTCTACATCGTCAAGATACAGTTTGCCTGGCGTCCGACGGCACCAATTTTTTCATTGTAAAGAGTGTACTCAGAGACTGACACCTATTCTATCTCAATAAACTAAACTAAGCAGAAATAAACTTCTCTCTATTTTAAAGCGTCGCGCGTGCACACAGGGGTCAACGACACACACACACAGGGATCAGCGCGTTGTTGGCAAGAACAGGCACACACATTTTCACAATCGAATTGATATTTGTTGCCATTAAGTCGCGGTCGGTATTGAAAAAGCACGAAGTAAATGTCATTTAATCACCTAAGTCATTCGCACTCTTAGTTAGCTTTTGTTCTCCTATCTACCGTACACGAAACATGGTGTTTTGCCTACTTACTTACAAGTGGCATCTTAAGTCGATATTGCCAGGTGATTTGATGCATTTTCGACGCATTCATGATATTTTAGAGTAGTCTGGTGCCGTTGATCACATCGAGCTGGACTTGATCACATCCTCGCTAGGTTGAGCCCCACACACCAGGCGTTTATCTACAGAACTGCATTGGTGTTTGTGCCAGTCGTGCAACATTTTGACCTATTGGTACTCCATGTCCTCCGCAACTAACCTGGTTCATTCCACAAAGCCGAAAAATCACTTGTCATTGCTCTATCAGCTACCATTGGCATACCTTTTGAATTGTTGCTTCATGTTTGCCACTGCGTTTGTTTCGTTTTCATACTGTTTCAAGCGCTTACTGCTTTTTAGGGTGTGTCAAATGGCGTTAATATCCAAAGAACAAGATTGCGTTCGTGTGAAAATAAAGGTTTGATACTTTTTTTTTATCTTGCTATCGTTCGTGTTGTCGGACGTATTTTGGAAACTAGAAAATTTTACGTCTTATTCCACTTATCAGCTTCTTGATAACTCTTCTTGTTCTTTTGCAGTTTTCATCAGGAGACGGCAGCCAGTCTTACTGTCAATTTTCAGTTGACCCCAAATTAACGACTTACGACGTTCTCGTTGATCTCATCAGTCGCCGATTTGAAGTTACCGGGTATCCTCTATCGCCTTTACCACTTTTATTGTGCTTCTAATATGCATTTTTGCTGAGTTCCTCCCTCACAGAATACTTACGATGGTGGGTAAACTTAAAAAAGAAATAAATTTTTAACGAACGGTTTCAAGTGTTGCATTATTCTTTCTAATGTGTCCTCTCATACATATTTATTGATTAGCTCTCTTTATATGTACACAGCTGCTTATGAGCTATTAGCAAAAAAGACAAACTATAATACCTGTTTCAAGGTAAACATTCCGAAGAAGGAAGAGATGGGGAGGGATGAAGACTTAGACGAGGGGATGTATGAATTAAATTAAATTTATCTGCAAAACAAGGGTTTGTGCCTAACGCATAGTTAAAAAGCATAACAATTCAAACTAGTTATTTTATTGCCGGTTTGCCTGCTTAATACCCTGAAAATTATAACCTCAAAAGCAGCTTCCTGTCTGTATGATATACAGCCGCATAATACAACCTTTCAAGCCGTTTCTGGATAGGATCACTATAATTGTTTCCTGAAGGTTTGCTTCTGCCTTGCTTCCTTTTACACCCGTTTTGATTATAAATACCTTGTCCAGCAACATTGCCTTATGCGGTGAATACTTCTAGATCGTTCATCTTAATTGAAGTTATCAAACGTCTGAATTCCTGCTTTTTGTTCAATTTTATGTTTGATCTTCTTTTGCGAACCTTAGGGATTTTAAAATCAGCTATCTGGTGATGGACAAGTACGGCGAACAGAGCCTTCTACCTCTGCACACAGACTTTGATCTTGATGCTGCTATTTTCGCATCTTCTGACCGTACCCTCCGCCTTTTTATTGAAACCAAAAGCAAGTCGGATGGTTCGTGTGTTTTGGTGATCATTATTTAAAATCAGACCTTCCTTTATACAATGGTTTATTTAAAAATTCTGCCGTCTACCGTCCAACCAACCCATATTTGTGAATCTCCGTAAAAATGCTACAAATCTCTGGATAAAACGGTCTTACGTGCCGAAGTCTATACTGGTGCTTATTTACGCACAACAATGATGCCCTGACAGGCTATCAGATGTTGATGGACTTACCTGGAACACAAACTATCGCCTCCTCTTTTGCACAATCAAAAAGCATTAAGATAATTTCAGATCTTTATAGAAATAGATAGTCAAATGGGATACAACGTGTGATTTGACATTGATGAATTTGTACCCACGATAGTTGCTTACATTCCTTAGGTTTTATTATTCTGACGCAAGCTGAAGTCTGCCGCCGGCACTTATATTCTTGTTCGGTTGGTGCGTCTGATCTCATCTAAGTGACCGTCGTTTTGAACACTGTCGGCGTACCACTTTGGCAAGATTCTTTTAAACTTACGTTAAACATGTTTTCCTTAGAAGTTCATGAAATCCACTTGCTGTTGTCTGACCCTATTCCTCTGACACAGGTTTTTCAGTTTGCTAACCGCCTAGTTGAGGATGTATCTTAGGTTCTTTGCTACCCTTGTCTATTTTATGAAAACGTTTCTATTCTTGACCGTTAGAGTCTGGATTTTGTACCTCTTATTAATTATTTTAATTTAGATGACTGGGATATAGTCGGACCTGGCGAACTGAGCGTAGATCGCCGCGAAATCCCTAAACGTGCCCCTGAGCCATCACCCCCCTTTCCACCTGGTCTCACTGCCGGACTTCGGTCCCTGGCTAATGTCCCCTTTCTTCAAAGTATTTCCCAACAGGTCGGGAAAACCGTTACTTCTATTGAAAAGGCTATAGGTAATTGCATTTTACCGAATAAGTTTTTACTCGTGCACCTTTTTGAAAGTAGGCTGTGTTTTATTGCTCTGCTGCCAACGTTATGCGGGGAATGTCTGCTACAAATAAATATGAAACAGTCATCCGCTTTACGGCGGTCTTCCTCTTCTATTCTCTTTGTCACAAGCTGCAAGCCTGCTGCACTGAAGTTTTGCACAGTGATCGAACTTTTTTTAATCTTGGACGTTTTGTTAAAGCCGAAGTTTAAGAAGTCTGAACTAAAATTTTTAAATATGTTTCCAAGTCGATACTGCAACTGAGCCTGTAGTGTTCCATGCACAGTAGCATGCAGGGCTTCCGTTTCCCTTTTTCCAGCCATCTGTCAAAGCGCTGCCTTATTTTTTCCTTCTCTTTTATGTAAACGCAGAGCTAATAAACGTTGGGCAAATGGGATTGTTAACGAATATTTTTATTGGTTGAATTTTGTCTTGAACATAATTATAATCCAAGCTAGTTATTATTTAAGTTTTTAAAAAGTTTTAGTCTGCGGATTTTTTGGGGCTCCGCGTACAACGCCTT